CCCCTCCCCGCTGGATGGGCGGGGGCTGCCCGGCCGCCACGATGGCGGTGACGGCCGCGGGCGGCTGCACGATGACGCCCTGCGGATGAGCCGTGTAGATCTGCTGGCCCTGGATGTACTGCAGCCCCGGCTGCGCGTAGCTCTGCAACGGAGCACGGGGAGGGAATCAGCTCCCACCGCGCGCGGCGGCGGCGCACCGGCGGCGCCCCGAGGCCCTGAGGGCTCCCCTTGGCCTCACTGCAACCCTCGGTCTAAAAGTGTCCAAAATTCCAACCCGGCAAGACCAGAGAGGGCTTCACAGAGATCCCCTAAGTGCTTAAACACCTGGAAATTTCCTCTTGCAGACTTTATCTTCTAGAAGGTTAAGGGTGTTTTTCCTGCTCTTTGTAACCATTTCCCATACAGGAGAGGGAAGGAAACAGAGGTTTGATAACAGATATTTCCAACTCTCAAAATCAGAAACACAAGAAATTAAGTGGTCTGATGACGTTTGTCATTGCAAAGAAGCCATCAACGCTTGCCATTGATTCACTGTCAATGGAAAACCTGCCATCAAAATCAAATATTGTTTCTACAAAGATTGCTAAAAGATGTCCCCGTGCAGGTAGCCCATGGTGTGGCCTGCAGCCACCTCCAGCCACTTCCCCAAGGACACGAGAAGCCACGAGCTCTTCCCATGTCATTAAACCGCCCAAAGTTGCTCGGATTGGGTTAAACTGAAGAGTTTTGCTCCTCAGAGGAGACCAAGGGGCTGCCAGTGCCACAGCTCCACCAAGCTGACTGGGGGAAAGGGCCGGAGATCCCGTGTGCTGTTACTCACCACTCCCACGCTGGCACCAGCTTGGGGCAGCAGATGCCCTAAAGAGGTTCATGTCACCCCATCTCACCTGTCCAAGCACAGATTTCCACTCCACAGCGTGAGGAATCCAGCTGCGTTTGCAAGAAGCCCATTTCTACAAGCACCCTGAAGGCTTCTACCTTCACGTTCGACTGTATTTAGTGAAGGCAGAAGCTCCTACCCAGGATCTCCTGTTCATACAACTCAACTGTGTTGACCAGCTTAGAACTAACCTCAGCCCAGCTGTCACCTCCTGCTTGGTCCCCCCGTCCCCAGCGTGTTTCTCCCAGCACCTTGGCTGTCAAATCCCCTCATTACCTGCACGATGGGTGGCGTCGTCTGCGAATAAGGGGACGTCACCCCGTAAACAGTCTGACAGGTCTGTCCCTGGTAATATATGGCTGGCTGCGACTGCGCCGGCGAGTACTGCTGCGGCACGGCCACCGTCTGCTGGCCCGAGTCCCACACGCCGTAGCCCTGGCCCTGCACCGGCCCCGGCGCGGGCACGGGCAGGACGGCCACGTTGGCTTCCTGGTGGACCACGGCGTCGCTCTGCGCTGCTCGGCGTGGGCAGCAGCACCTTGCCGGCGTTGGGGTTGCTGGGGTCCACGTAGGCCTGCATGGGGTAGCCCGGGGGGTAGCCCAGGAAGCTGTGGTGGGGGGTGCCGTAGGCCATGGAGTCGTAGGGAAGCGGCGACGCCATGCCCAGGTTCTGCAGCTGCTGCTGCTGCTTCTGAGCCTCCCGCTGGGCCACCTCCTGCTCGAAGAGCTTGCGGCGCTCCTCCGTGGACAGCTTGTTGCGGTCCTTGAGGCGGACCTTCTTCTTGGAAGAAGCTGGCGTGTCATACCTGGAAGGGAGGGAAAAGGCTCCGTGAGACGCGCGGGGAGACCTCCGGGCCAACGGGACGGCCTCCAGCGGCGCGGTGAGGTCCAGAGCCTCGGGCACCACGTGCAAGAGCGGGAGGAACTGCTTTGCTTTGGGCTCCTGACCGAGCTTGGCTGCTCCCAGGGAGGAGAAAGATCCTCAGGAGGAGGATGCTCCCTGCAAGGAGGAAGATCCTCAGGAGGAAGATGCTCTCAACAAGGAGGAAGGTCCTCAGGAGGAAGATGCTCTCGATGAGGAGGAAGGTCCTCAAGAGGAGGATGCTCCCTGCAAGGAGGAAGATCCTCAGGAGGAGGATGCTCCCTGCAAGGAGGAAGATCCTCAGGAGGAGGATGCTCCCTGCAAGGAGGAAGATCCTCAGGAGGAAGATGCTCTCAACAAGGAGGAAGGTCCTCAGGAGGAAGATGCTCTCGATGAGGAGGAAGGTCCTCAAGAGGAGGATGCTCCCTGCAAGGAGGAAGATCCTCAGGAGGAGGATGCTCCCCACGAGGAGGAAGATCTTCAGGAGGAGGATGCTCCCCGTGAGGAGGAAGATCCTCAGGAGGAGGATGCTCCCAACAGGGAGGAAGGTCCTCAGGAGGAGGATGCTCCCAGCGAGGCGGAATGTCCTCAGGAGGAGGATGCGCCCTATGAGGAGGAAGGTCCTCAGGAGGAGGATGCTCCCCACAAGGAGGAAGGTCCTCAGGAGGTGGATGATCCCAGCGAGGAGGATCTTCAGGAGGAAGATGCTCCCAGCAAGGAGGAAGGTCCTCAGGAGGAGGATGCTCCCAGCGAGGAGGAAGATCCTCAGGAGGAGGATGCTCCCAGTGAGGAGGAATGTCATCAGGAAGGGGATGTTCCCTGTGAGGAGGAAAATCCTTAGGAGGAGGATGCTCCCAGCGAGGAGGAAGATCCTCAGGAGGAGGATGCTCCCAGCGAGGCGGAATGTCCTCAGGAGGAGGATGCGCCCTATGAGGAGGAAGGTCCTCAGGAGGAGGATGCTCCCAACAAGGAGCATTGGGCTCTTCCACCTCAGGCTCCAAATGGAGATCCTGGCTGCAGGGTCCGGAAGACGCTCGGGCAGTGCTGAGGAGATGGAGGCAACCGGGGCTGCACTGAGGGCCAAGAGGAGCCCAACGGGAGGGCAGAGGGAGAGGCTCCCTCCGCATCACCCCAGAGCTCATCCAGCCCACAGAGAGCTCTGGGGAAGTTTGATGGACACAAAGGAATCCTGAGCTGGATAATCCCGAGGGAAACTCTGCCACGTTCAGCTGCACGGGCAATGGAAACGCCAGCGAGCGGCTCTGGTTGGAGTCAGGCTGTTCACTAGACCACAGCTCTGGCAGAAAGGAAGGAAAAAAGAAAGAAGGAAGGAAGCACGGACGGATTCTTATAAAGAGTAAGAATTTTTCACCCCAAGATGCGGAGCAGCTGCGGGCATTTTTCCAAGGAGTTAAATAAATTTAAAAAAGAAAAGGCTGAGGAACTTTGATCAGACCTCAACCATGGAAAACTTCAGATCAAAGGTGGGTATTTTGAGACGTTGTGAGTGTGGTCAGATGTGGCTTACAAGCAAAATGCTTTGCAGCCCTATAAATATCCTTAATCCACTGACTTTGCACTCGTGTGTTTGCTTTGCACCTCAAAAGGGTGTTGTGACCAATCCACGAGCTTCAGATGTTGCTCCGGTTCCTCGATCCTGTTTGTGGCGCAGCTGATGTGTTAATACAAACCATACTGACACGCTGGGTCCGAGGTAAATAATCCGGGTCCTTCCCGGCGCTTGCGTCTCCGCTAAGAAAGGCTCCGGCAAAAGGCGAGTGGAGGAAAAAGTGAGAGAGGAAGGCGAGGGGATGGGAATGCTGCCAAGCCTCCCATCCTCGGAGAACATCCCTGGGCGGCTCTTCCCCTTTATTCCCATCATTTATCAGTGCAATTTAACACATATTTAAGGCCAAAATACCCAGAGGCAAAAGATGGGCGTTCTCATGAAACCCCATGCTTTCAAGTCCACCTTTTTCAATGCCTCAGGCTGACCTATTCCACACTTATTCCTCCCTTTCTGCCATCTCTCTGCGCACTTACTCTCCTCCCTTTCCTCCTGCCCCATCCATGGGCTCCGTTTCCATCCTAACTGCAGGACTGGAGCTCTCTGGCTCCAGTTTTAGGCAGACATTTCAAGCTTCTGGGGCAGAACACAGCCCGGGGACACAAGTCTGCTGGGCTGGCCCCTTCACCACCAATTGTGCTGTAATTACCCAGGCGCTTCAGATCCTGTTTCAGGGACACAATAGGCTGCTTTTAACGGCGACTCCTCGGTAATGGAGCTGCCTTTGGTACCCGAAACAAAAGGCAGCGCTTCCCTTCCCTTAATTAACAAGGAACTTTCGAGTAAGGAAAACTGGAGTCCTCCAAATGAGAGGAACAATGAAAAATAATTACAGTGGAGTGGCAACGAAGAAGGTGGTACCTTATTTTTAAAAACTGCAGTGAGTGGTGGCACCAAATGGATGCACAAACAGGCAGGAAAAGGCTCCTGCAGTAACTAGAAGTGTTTTCTCCCTCTGCACCATTCCTCGAGGGGAACTAGCTGGCTTTAGGATGGACTTCTGCCTTGCAGTTCTTTGTCCCCCGGCTCTTGCAAACTCCTTTGCTGGTCGGCAGCACGTGGAGCAGCACAACTCGTGTTGGCACAAGCTGGTAAAAACCTCTTAGGAGACACACGCCGCACCACGAAGCCATTCCCATGGGAAAGCAGGAGGAACAGGGATAGAGAAGGGCTGCTGCTGCTGTACAGGGCAAAAAGCTCTTGTGTTATCCTCCTGGATGGCTTTCAGGGCACTTGGGCACCCCTGCAAGCATCGCTCCCAGCCAGGGACTACAACTCACCTTGTGTGCGGAATTTAGCCCAGAGGAATTGCTCTTTTTGCCCCATTTTTCCCCCTTCTGAGCACTTGCCTGTCCTCGGGCCTCTTGGTTCCCCGCTCGTAGGCCGAAGACGGCGGCGACAGGGAATCCCGTCGCCTCTTCTTCTCCTTGCTCTGGCTCTGCCGCTCGGGATCGCGCTCGCGGTTCAGGACGGGGTTCTTGGGAGTCGGCGTCTGATCCCGGTGGCCGGCGGCCTCTCTCCCGCGATCCGCTGGTAGGGAAAAATGGGGAAAAACGTTACAATTCAGCACGTTTCTAGCTCCCTCCCGTGCAATCGCAGCCTGTCAGCCAAAAGAGTCACCCCTCAAACAAATTCCCTTTTCCCCCATCAATCTCAGTACAGCTGAGGTGAAAATTCTATCTTAACTCTGGTTTAAGATACTTCATCCATTCCTGAGGCGTTCCCGAGGGGATCGTCGTGCATCAGGATTATTTTGGATGCAAAACCAACTCCGAGCAAGCGGAGGGAAGAAAGCTGGGCCCTGGTTATGTCATGGGCTGGCAGCAGCCGCCGCCGCCGCCCTCGGCAGCGAGCGGGATGGGTTTTGGCACCACACGCGCTCTCCCCGCTAATGTAAACACAGCTACTGCTGCAAGAGAAGACCCAGAGCCTTTGAAGAGCGCGGCGGTGCCGGCTGGCACGCGGCCGCGTCGACAGGGCCGTAAATCTCTCGCCGTGCTCCCCCCGCTCGCCTCCGCGACGCAGGAGCTTTCGCAAAGCACCCAAAGAGGTTTTCGATGCCCTGGAAATCCCGGGGAGCCCCGGGCGCTCCCGCTTCCAGCCACGGGGGTCATTCCAGGTGAGGGGAGTGGGGAAGGGAGAGAGTTTCCGTGTGCACGAAGGGAAAACAGAGCTGGGAAGGGCAGGCCCGGCCCCGGTTCTGCCCCAGGTCCCAGAGCCACCTCCAGGGCGGGTTTAGATGATCTTGGGGTGCTGACTACGCTGCCCAGATGGGAAGAGCTCCGAAGGTGGCTCAGGGAGCTGAATTCAAGAGCTCTCAAGAGCATCTATATGCTGTGAAGAGAAGCAGCGCTGCGCTGAGTGTGAAACTCCCCTTAAAGTAGACTCTTCCTCCAAGTGCATCTGTTTTACCGGGAGCTGCTTCGGCATCGGCTCTAGTGTCCTATGCTGGATGCACGAGGAGGCTGCAGGCTTCAGAAGATCAAGTTCAGCCTTTGCAGTATGGCAGAGAGCCTATGTAGGAGGGTAAACACCATCTCCTGCTCCTGGGACACCGGATGGATGTTTCATTCCATAGGGATGTTTCGTTCCATAGGGATGTTTATTTGTCTTCTCTATTTACTTTTCGGGTGCTACAACAGGAGCTCTGCCTATAGGAGACCCCTGCAGCCCCCAAATCACCAAGGTCAACCAGCAAGAGCCGTAGTGCTGGTCTCCAGCATCCACGATGACACATCCCGAGCTCCGCATGGACAACGGCGCTTGGAAAATCAAGCCGTTCCACAGGGGGGGAATGGGAACAGGATGAAGAGGGAAGCGTGGCTACGTACCGCTGTTCTCCCGCTCCGCTTGGCTCTTCTTGGGGATCCGATACACCTCCTGCAAAACAAGGCACAAGAGTGAAGGCTTTGGGGCAGGCACACGAGCGCGTTCCCGCTCTCCCCGGGTCCCTGGCGCCCCAACGTGCTACCCGAGGAGCTCGAGCAACTCCAGCACCACTTTAAAACAAAACAAACCCAACGTCTGGTCTGCAAACGTATCCCCATGGGGCTTTCTATGTATTATCCCTCATGGGAACGCCCCGTTGCATCAGTTTTGGGGGCTTTTGCAGCAGGGGCAGCAGCGGAGCCGCGGTGGAGCAAGCTGGACGCAGACGTGTTCCATGTTGGACATCTGGTGTGCAAAGAGATGCCCAAGAGGGGTCAATGTCCTGCTGTTTTACTAAGGAAACCCACCTGCCCCTTGGCTTCACCTATTAAACAGCCCCCACGGTGCCATGGAGTCACGGTTTGGTTGAGGGAACCAAGGCCAGAAGGGACCTCGGGACCGGCTGATCTCCAGGCCCTGGATAGCCGGGTTGGAGCCAGACCTCCCGGCCAGGTGGCCAAGCGGATCCAACCCCTCGGACACGGGGTCCCCAGCCCTTCTCCAGGCACCTCCCGACATTCCCGACAACGGGAACGGCCGGGCCGGGGTCAGGTGCCACCTCCACATCCCGCCCCCAGAGCTAAGACCGAGACCGTCACTCAAAGATCATTTATGGACCTGGGATCCACGTGCTGGGAGAGTCCCTGGGACCCTGTCGCGCATTTGAGAGCAAAAACGTGTTTATTCATTTAGGCATTTCCAAGCAGGTCCCGTTTGACAAGGGACAGCAAGAGATGTCGCTGCACGTTTCACACTTTATTGCTTCTCCGACAGCCCCGGGCCTGGGTTCGTGATTCCTTCTCCATCGCTGTGTTTGAAACTCCAGGTAAAGAGCTCATGGAAGA